GAGATTTTTTTCTAGAAAACCATAAATTATCAAAAAAAATAAGGGGGAAAGATCCAAACTGACCTATCAGTTTTGAAGAGAGTAAAAACACTGTCAAAGCTTCTAAGCTCCACCCTCAAGGATCTGAGTCATTTTGGATGAGTTCTATCACTTTCAAGGATCAGGTGGTTGATTTAAACAATAATATGAGATGTTATCTTAATTTATGCTCTAGGCAAGTGAAGTGGGACACAGATTTTATTTTTTCTTTTATGAACACTGTCCATGTAGTCCAGGGACACAGATATTAATCTGTGCTATTTAACTTATTCCAGAATAAGGAGGTTCCTGGAAAGCTTTTAAATCCCTGATTAAATGAATTCATAACTACAGAATCTCTCTTAAGGTTACACATGCATAAATTTTCAAAAATCCATCAAAGGTGGGAGGGTGTCATACTTTATGACCATAAAAAGTGTTATCCTTGTATTTCAAAATGACTCAGTACATTAACAAGTAAAAGAAACAGGAGCAGATGATCATCTTGATAAAGGCTCAAAAGCCATTTGGTAAAGTTTTTAAATCCTTTTTCCAGCTTGTTTGACTACTTAGTTTCATATTCCTTATCTCATAAATGAATTGAAGGCTATGAAAGATTTTCATTTCAGTCCCATCCACAAGATGTGCCCCATGGCGCCATCGCCGCCACTCATCTCTACTATACTTGATTATCTCTTTATTTGTGACTTGGGATGAAATAGGAATTTTGGCTCTTAGTAACTTCAATTTTTATTACATTAGAGTCAGAGAATGTGACCTGTGGGATTTCTACATTTTGGAATCTGGTGAGATTTTCTTTCCAGCACAAAGCATGGTTAATTTCTGTGACCATTCCAAGAGGATCTGTTGGACAAAGTTCACACACAGTGGACACATCACATTTGGTAACAGTGCCAGTTAAATAGCCAGATCCTTCTTTGTCTAGTTGATTTCCAAATTCTGACAGATGAGGGTTAACATATCCTGTGACTGGGAATTACTTAATTTCTCTCCATGTTCTATCTTTCAAAGCTACGCCGTCAGCTAATGAAAGTGTTTAACTGCTTATCTTCTTGACAAATTATTCCTTTCATAAACTGATGCTTTTTTTTACCTTGCATTCTATCTTGATTGACAATACTACCACCAGTTGCTTTCTTTTAGCATTTCCTGATCTTTTTCCAACCCTTCACTCTCAGCCTTCTGGGTCACCCCTTTATTTTAGGTGGTCTCCCATAATCGTCATATACACGTTTGTGATGACATTTAAAAATCAACCTGAAAATGTCTGTAAGTAGCAGAATTTAACCAGTTCACATTGACTATGATTAGCAATATGTTTCAACTTACTCCTGCCATCTTATCCTTTCCTGTTTTTTTATTTCTTCTCCTGATGTTTACTGGACCAAGTGAGCTGTTTCGGCAAGCAAAACACAGAAGATTCAATTCTTTCCAGACACTACCTGTTTCAACTATAACACTGTGGCAACAACAGCTCCAGGAAACAGGGCTTGCTGCTCTATCAGACTCTTCCATCCATCCTCCACAGACTGTAGGAACAGGACTTATTACCCTTAAGACTAAGTTCCTGTGGGTCTTGATCTTATCCCAGAAAGGGCAGTGGGGAGCACAGGGATAGAAGAGTACCAGGGGTTTAAAAAAAGGCATTTTGGGGACAGACAGGATGACGACTAAAGAAGACTGACATAAACAGTCAGAGATGCCAGGCAGGTGAAGTAGGACATAAAAATTAGACATGAGAGAATACAGCACCAAGCAGTATGAATAGGTTTACTTGAGAATTTAAATACAATCCACACCAGTACTGGGGCCCTCATCCATTTTACACCAAGAACTACCTCCTCTGTAACCAAGACAGACTCAGTCAGTCCCCTCTGAATACCCAGCTGTCCTTACCTATAGTCTTTTAATACATTGTTCACAGAACTGTTCTTGTAAGCATGACATTGAAAGTGCCACACAGCCTACCCACTGGGCCCACAGTAACAACACATGCACATGTATCCTTCCATTTTATGCCAATGTTCTTTCCGCTTTCTTCACAACACAGCGTTGTGTTCTTTTTCCTTCCATTTATTATACCCATCGTTTTCTATCCATTCCACTGACTGTTTGGAACTCTTAGACACCCCTTTTGTCTCCTAAGATCCCCGCACAAGTAACCATATGCCAGCCAATGTTCTTTATCTCTTAGAGTCACAAACATAAGGAAAGCCCCTTTCCTAGAAAAATGCATATACCTACACGTACACAAAATTCTGCACATAAGGTTCTAGACCTCCCCAAAAGCCGTCTACAGATCCTAGGTTTTAAAATTCTGTAAACACCCCCACCGTAATTCATGATGCAGAGAAGACCCGGATCAGGGCCAGCAAAGAATTAACAGCGGGGAGGGAAAGTCGGTCTCTCGGTGAAGCCATATTTAGACACAGCATTTAGGAAGGTAGTCTAAAAAATGCATATATCCTCCTAAAAGTACGCAAAATCTACATGTGCTACTTTAATGTATTTTACTTATATACCTCTAAATCTGAACAATATAAGAGTCATCCTCCATTGAGATTTATGCCAAGTTCTCACTGGCATAAACAAACACACGGCTTTAGGATCTCTGATTTGTTCATGTGTTTTGTAATACATTAATGTGAGAATGACTAAAAAAACGGTAATTCTTAAGTTTCAACTTATGATTATAAAGTTATTCTACTTCATGTACATTGAGAGTGGAAATAAAGATATCCGAGGCCTCCCTGCCTTTTAGGGGTTTGGGTAAACTTGACTCAAAACTCCATTAATTCCATGGCCTGTAGAAGCTTTTAGCTCCCCTGAAGACTTGTGCATATTCTGCATATTCCTTGGAGCTTGTTCTCATGGCCGCCCTCTTCTGGCTCCTACATTATGTGTGGTACTTACATGTTGCCCCATTTCACCCTGGACACAGCACTCAGCCCTTCCACAGTTTCCGTAAGAAACCCACTCATGTCGAACATCCCAGACTTTAAGGAGAGACTTTGTGGTCACGAAGTTTTCCTACACAAGAGCTCACAACTTCAGACCATCCTATTCAACTGGTTTCCTCTCCCACTCCCTTTCCAAATCTACTCTTTCTTATCTTACCTCCGACTATCCCAGGAGATTCAAGTTCTCTTACCATGTGGAGCAATTCAACCCTCTCAAGGTCCTGCCCCAAGTTTAGATGCCCAAACCCACCACAGTGCTCAGCAGAACAAAAAGGATTCCAAATAACATGATCCACTTCCTTGACAGGCGACTGGGAATAGGAATTTGTTGTATCACTAAATGCTAAGCACTTCACGTTTGTTTACTTCTCCCAACTTTCCCATGATTTAGGTATTTTCAAAACTATTTTATAGATGAGAAACTTGAGGTTCCGAAAAATTAAGAAAATGAATACAATCAGAGTAGGTGCTATATCGTCTTCATTTTTCCTCTTTTCTAACCCATAGATCTTAACTCAGCTTTGCTATTTACATATGGCTCTTCCCATGTACTAGTATCAACCTTTCTCATCTTTTCCGAGTTAGATTTTACCACTGAGTACTTTATCGATCTGTTTTTTCTTTTTTTTTTTTTTTTGGGGGTTTTTTTTTTTTGCTCTGTCACCCAGGCTGGAGTGCAGTGGCACGATCTTGGCTCACTGCAACCTCTGCCTCCTAGGTTCAAGCGATTCTCCTGCCTCAGCCTCCCCAGAAGCTGGGACTACAGGTGCCCATCATGCCCAGCTAACTTTTTGTATTTTTAGTACAGACGGGGTGGGTTTCACCATGTCGGCCAGGATGGTCTCGATCTCTTGACCTCGTGATCCACCTGCCTCGGCCTCCCAAAGTGCTGGGATTACAGGCGTGAGCCACCACACCCAGCCCATCTGCTATTTGCTTTCCATTCACCTATATTTTTCAAATTTCTGAGAATACTAGCACATTGTATAAAGACTGATTGATAAATAATTCAAAATTTTTAACAGAGCCAAGAGTTAGAAGGTCCCTTGGAAGGGATCATGTCCATGCTCATACAACACAAAGAAATCCCTCTTCAATTTCCAAGACAGCCTGGCAATCCGTGCCCATGTTCTCACGCAGTAGACTATCTGAATGTTGAGCTCTTATGCAGAGCTCTTCCTCTCTGAAAGAGGCAATCTGCCATTTATTCAGGCTTCCAAAGTTAGAAACTGTGCTCTCATTCTGGACTTATCTTGTTCACACCCTAAATCCAAGCAGTTACCAAGAGTGACTCCATCGCAGGTGACCTACCCCTGCCCCCACTCCCCCCGCATCAGAAGGGCTAGTTTGGGTTGCTCCCATCCCAATGGTGGAACCCAATGCAGACTTGTCTCTCAAAGCAGGTAGACGCCAGAGCCATGCAGAGACTGCTGACTGCTGCACAGAACGTGGGCCCCCTCTGCTTCAGCTGACAGCACTTCACGCCTTCCCAGGAGTGGGCCGGTCAGCAGGAGCCAGAGCAGGGCTTGGAGGGGCTGCCTATGGGCACCAGGCAGATCACAGAAAGCACCACAATGGGTCACCCAAGGAAAAGGAATTAGTTGCCAACATTTTAAGATTAAATTGTGTGTGAAAATCAAGGCTGTGTTTCTTAGAAGAGCTGTGGGTCTGTATTCCACCATGAACACAAACCACAGCAGAGCAGAGGCCGTTCTCCCAGTGGACTGTGCTCTCTCCAGCTGGATTATTCCTGACCTGAGTCATTTATTACATATGAAGCTGTGACCTTGGGACCAGGGTGTCCTCACACCTTAGTGTGCCTAAGGTCTGTTCTAGGCTTGTTGTCCAGATGTATAAACAGCACCCCCTCCCTCCACTCTCAAGTGCTGAGTTTGGACAATAAATTACATGGTCACCCTAGCCTTAAATGTGCAAGCCAATTCCCCACCACACACCCACACACAACCACTGAATTCACACAACTGCATGTCAAGCACAGAACCCTGTTATAAAGTGATTTTATTAAATTGATTTGGACATACTGTAGGTCAAATAATATTTTCTGAAGATAACAATTATGGACTTTAAAGCTCGACATAAAATTAGTAGCTTCAAAAGGGTTAGTCATATTCCCCAGCAACAGCATGATAAAATAATTCAACTATGTAGAAATATAGAACTCTAGGACTAGCTGGAAACTCGGAAATCATTTAGCCTAATGTTCTCATTTTGAGAGAAAACTAGACTCAAAGATTAAGCGATTTGCCCAAGCTCACATACCTAATAGTAATAAAGCTAGAAATCAAACCAATTTTTCCTAAAACTAAAATTCTATCAATGATATTTCAACTGGCTCTCTATCAACTAAAAGTCTAGGCTTTTCTCTAACGCTCCACGCTATTTGTGACATGAAAGAGTGATAAGACACTACAGTAAATTGTACTTATGGAATTCAGGCCTGGAAGGGGCTTTAGCAAATAACTAAGCCAGCCCTCTCTTTGTAAAAAGGAGGAAAAGTATGGAAAATGACTTACCAAACGTTTGTTAGCAGAGATGTCTGGATTAAAATCCAGATATTGACAAATTTACCCACAAATCCCATCTCTAGTTTCATGGCCCACCCACTAAATTATGTGCTCCTTTTAAATCTCCTTTACGCGCTGAGGTTTTAGTTATACAAAAACCCCTTCCAGTCAAACAGAAAAAAATTAATTCAAATATGGAGAGAAAAATCAAACTTTCAGTATTTTCGTGACTATTTTGAGTACTTTACTTTCCAACCTCTTAGACAGCTGACAGACACCACTAACCTGATCACCCATTTCAGAGCTTCAAAGATCCTTAATTTCCCCAAAGACTTCCTGAGCAAAAGGACTACATGTGGGAAATCAATGAAAATAGGAATGAGAAGAAAAACAAAGTTAGAAATTGGTTGCTTTTTGTTCCTGTCATTGGGGACTTTTGGTCTTCTAAACATTCCTTGAATTCCTCCACATGAGTTTTTAATATCAATCTAGCAAAAATTAAAACAAACCAAAAAAGGCCTATGAAAGTCAGGATACTGAGCACCTCAGCATCTCTCCCCTCCCCGCCACTCGCGAACGCCAGTGCTGGCCTTCTGTTCCTCAAACACACCGGCTCATCCCCTAGAGCAGCCTCTGTGCTCTGCCAGTGAAAGCTGCTTCTCTTCCAGCCTCAGCTCAACGTTGGCCCCACCTCGGAAAGGCCTCCCTGACCGCTAGCTAATGTCACCCCACCCCCACCCCACCCCACCACTAAATCATCACCCTAGTTTATTTTCTTCATAGCACTTAATCACTACCTCAAACTACATTATTTATTTGTTTATTTATCATCTGTCTCCTTCACCAGAAGTAAACTCCACGAGAATAGGGACCTTGTCTATCTCGTAAGTGGTATTCCCAGCACCTAGCACAGTGCCTGGCACATAGGAGGTTTTCAATAAATATTTGTTGAATGAAGAAAAGAATGATGGATTAATAAGACGTTCATGCCTTAAAAAGAACTGATACATAGTAATCAACAAAGGGGTATAGAAAACTCCTATGCATTATTGCCCAAGATTACAGAAATAGAGACGAAACATTATTAGTGATTCCTCCTACCATCCACTTCTCGTAAGGTCTCCCTAGCTAGGAAGGAGCTCCATCTGTTATCAAAGGAGCCCAGAGGGCAATTCTGGATGAAGAAAAGCTCTCACTTTGCTTGCTCCTTCCTCCCTGCTATTTACATTCAGCTATTTCCAAAAAAAATTCAAGTGAAAAATATGCGATGCAGCTACTAGGAAATAACTCTAACAGAGACAGTGATGAGCAGAATCCACACAAATCAAAAACGTTCAAGGACATGTATGTCTGCCAGTGATTTTTCTGACAGGCTAAGTGAATGGGTATTATGAGTCACCTAAAATCTAAAATGAAAGTTAATGCCATCTAGGAAGGGATGGATATTTACGGGGATTTTGAGGACATATAGGTAGACTGGGTTCAGAAATAATAGGCTATATGGAAAGATACATAGGGGCTAAATCAAGTGGTAACCTCAGAAATACCAGAATGTGATCTTAGTGTGGGAGCTGTCCATTTTCCAAAGCACTGCCAGTATGCTCGAATCAGGAGGAAGGAAGGGCATGAGCTCCTCAAGGGGGAGTATCTGGGATAGCTTTTAAGCAAAGCATGGATAGAAGGTGACTCAGGAGGCCAGGCAATGATCGTGGCTTTTTGTGTAGTCTTTCAACTATGGAGGCAGCGTGCTGGAATCCCAGGAAGCAACATCTATGACTGGGACCTAACACCCATCCTGGGCGGACACTCAGAGGTCCACATTCAAAGTCAAGCTGTGGAACACACACTTGGCATAAAGCAACAAATCAATCTCACGTACGCCTCCTCAGAAACAATGTTCTGCTAGGGATCGCTGTAAATATTTCTTGGGTCAATGTAGGTATATACAGGGTTTCCTTCCTAGTGGCACTTATGGGTTTTAAGATTTTAAACTCTTAGCAAAACATTTTATATAACTGATATTTTGAGATGGTTTCTCTCCTTTGTGTGGACTCTCTGGTGGATGCAGAGGCTCGTACTCTGACTGAAGGCCTTTCCGCACTCATCACATTTAAAAGGTTTCTCTCCTGTGTGGACTCTCTGGTGGATGCACAGGCTTGAACTCTGACTGAAGGCCTTCCCACATCCACAACATCTATAGGGTTTCTCTCCAGTGTGGACTCTCTGGTGGATGCAGAGGCTCGAACTCTGACTGAAGGCCTTCCCACACTCATAACATTTATAGGGTTTCTCTCCTGTGTGGACTCTTTGATGCATGCAGAGGCTGGAGGTGTGCCTGAAGGCCTTCCCACACTCTTCACATTTAAAGGGCTTCTCTCCGGTGTGGACTCTCTGATGCATGCAAAGGTTTGAACTGTTACTAAAGCCCCTTCCACACTCACTACAGACATAGGGTTTCTCACCTGTATGAACTCTCATATGAATTTGAAGATGGGAGCTCCAATTGAAGGCTTTGCCACACTCGTAACATTTATAGGGCTTCTCCACTGTGTGGATTTTCTTATGTCTATTAAGTTTTGTTGTAGTGCTAAAATCCTTACCACAATCATCACATTTATAGACCTTCTCTCCTGTATGGTCTCTCCAATGAATATGAAGTTCTGATATATGAAAGAAACCCTTATCACACTTGTCACATTTATGGGGCTTCTCAGCTGTGTGAATTTTCTGATGCATAAAAAGATCCGCTCGCTCAGAGAAAAATTCCCTACACATGGGGCACTTGTAGATCATTTTTCCTATTTGGTATCGTGATTTGGAGGAGAAAATTTCCTTACAATTACTACAGTTACAAGACTGTTATTTCATAGAGTCTCTTATTTGGCCATTTTGGCAGTCTATCTCAGGCTTGCTCTGTTAGGTAAGTTTAAGGTCAGCCTAAGCTTTTCCCTGCCTGTCTTTCTATGGAAGGTTTCTTCCTGCATAGTGTTCCTCACTTCGTATTATTATTGATTATAAAGTGACATTGACTTCCACGTGAATTCTGTAACTCATTAACATAGAACTTTGTTTTAGATCCTGAGTTGTCAACATTCCAAGGGGCTCTCAAGGTGCAAACCTTTGCGTTTTTGAGTCCCTAGAATCTTCCTCTTGTAGAGTAATCTTGTACTTCTCACTTCTAGAAAAAGGACTGTACAGTATATCCCTTGTATCAAAGGATGAGATACTGCTGGCTGGTCTCGAGCCCCTGCAGCTGCCCCTTGAAGAGTCAGTTTGACATTCTGTCTTCTGCACATCAGACAGGAAAGCCTTTCTAGGAAGCAGGCTCCTGGGGGTCCAGGTATATGGCAAGCGTTGCTTTTGGAAATTCCCTACATGGGTATCATGCCATCTTCTGTAAAAGAAACATAAATAAACAAATTGAAAATGCTTTTATCTGGAAAACTGCTATTAATTCCAAAATTAATTTTATATAAATGTGACAGCAGTTAACACAAACCTTTTTTGGTCTTGAGGAAGAAGCTCTCTTATCTTCCAGAGATGTGTCTCTTGGATTTGCAGGTCTGAAGGAGAGAATTTGTAGATATCATGCTCCTGTTTACAGCTCAAGTATATAATCCAGTTACAACCACTCATTGTAATTATCTGAGCAACATCAAGGGGAATATTATTGAAAGAGAAAAGAAATCCTCAAAAGACCTACATGTGAGTATGAAAACCAGCTGTCCTGTACAAAGGAACAACAATGAAAATGATCTTCACTTTGAACTTCAGAAGGTACAACATTGCTGCTTTTGGAGATAAAACATCACATCTGACTTGCCTTCTAATCTACAGAAAGAATAAGTACATGATATGTTGGTATCAAATGTCATTCTCCTACTGGTCTTCAATCATTTCCTGATGTGCTTAAAATAAAATCCCAATCCTTAACTGAAACACTTGACCTGCCCCTCTCTCCCCACCTCACTCCCTGTGCTTCCTGCTTCTGGCTTTCTTTTTCCGCTCTCAAACACCCCACGCATTTCCTGCCTCGGGGCCTTTGTACATTCTGTTCCCAGAGCTTAAACCACGCCCTCCCCTACTTTGTGCTGAGCTTTGTGGGTCAGCTGCCTCTCCCCTACTTAAGAGGCCTCCTGGCTAGACTACTTCCATCTCCTTTGATTCCTGTAAAGCCTACAGGACTTGTAATTATCGTACTTGTTTTCCCTGGTTTTTAGCCTGTCTCCTGTACTAGGATGTAAGTTCCATGAAGGAGGGACTGTGTGCGTTGCTCTCTGTTATAACCTGGCAATGAGAGGTATTCAATTAATGTTTTTTGAAAATCTACAGAGAACTTCAGGACACCCTCTTGCACCCACACATGTCCTGCTTCATTGTGGTGGAGCAGATAAAGGTACATTTCTTAGTGCCTTATTTCCAGTCTTTTGATAGCCTACAGGAGACAAAATACGAAACAAACAGAATAAGGAGGAGATAAAGGAAGAAAACAAATCCCAGAATATTCGCTCTGAAACCTTTTGAGGTTTAGGACTTTGTTTTAGCAATCTTTTCATTTATTTTACTCTATACGCAGTGATACTTTAAAATTAACTAAATGAAATCAATAGGTCTTAAAATAACACTTTTAATACGTTCCATACAAAGAGGGCATGTACAGAGGTGTTCAAGGAGATGTTATGTTAAAATGGTAAAATTGGGCTACTTGTAGGTGGAAGTGTTAGAATTATGAAATTCAATTAGGTACCCAAAATTTCAACAAAAATGGTCATATATCTACAAAAATTATGTTTGCATCTATAATTTGTCCTAGTAATAATTCTAGAATCTTTCCTAAAGATTCATTGGTAAAAATAGGAAGTGACTGATATACTCGGTTATTCACTGAGGCAGTATTTGGCACTGAAACTGCAAGCAACCCAAGGCCAACGATAGGTAACTAGCTCAATCAAGTATGGCACCTCCTCACAAGACAAAAAGGAATGAGGATGAGCACTGTGCACTGACATGAAGTAAACCCAGGTCACACTATAAGTTAAAAAAAAAGTAAAGTACACAATACTATATGTTCTATACTATCTTTTCTGCAAAAAAGGAAGGTAATATGAATGTATCCATATCTTTGCTTATGTATATAAAAAATAAACACTCGCCAGGCACAGTGGCTCAAGTCTGTAATCCCAGCACACCAGGAGGCCAAGGCGGGTGGATCACTTGAGGCCAGGAGTTTGAGACCAGCCTAGGCAACATAGGGAGAATTGTCTCCACAAAAAAAATTAAATTAAAAAGTTAGTTGGGCATGGTGGCACACACCCATAGTCGCAGCTACTTGGGAGGCCGAGGCAGGAAGATGGCTTGAGCCTGGGAGTTCAAGGCTACAGTGAGCCAAGACTGCGCCACTGTACTCTAGCCTCAGCAACAGAGTGAGACCCTATCTAAAATAAAATATAAACTAAATAAAATATAAAATAATAAATAAGCATGGTGAAAGATAATCCAGAATTTAATGATTACCTGTAGGGGAGAATAAAGTTAAGACTTCTCTGAATATACTGTTACCAAGTTTTGACTCTGGAAACATGTTTCTACAGTCAAAAAATAAAATTAAATAAATATTAAAATAGAATGAACCTATCATGTTGGTGACATAGCCACAAATGGCTTTTGAGCACAGTATACTGATTGTACATGCCTAGAACATATTCTTTTGACAAATAAGCTGCAAAGAAATCACACTTCTTTCAACAATTTAACTGTTAATAACACCGGTTGTCTTTTAAAGTAGGTTAATACAAATAAGTAGTTTATGTTAAAGTTGTTAGGAGCCAAGATTCAATGTAAGAAAAATTAGATATAAGTATAAAATCAAAGTTAAGAAAAAATCCAGTAAAATAAAATTTGATTTAGAGGTATCAGTTTGAACTCACATTTTTTTCTTTTTAGCTACCACTAAAAAGACCCGGAAGCAATAAGAATCGACAGCAATGAGCACACCTGGAGCCCCTTTCCTTAAATCCTCTCCCCACCAACAGGCAAGGGGTGCTTGGAGGAATGGCTGGATTCAAAGTCAGAGCAGCACTTACAAAATGAGCCTGGGACATCTTGTTATGCCAGAAAGCAAAAGGGCTGTGCGCCAAAGGAACACAGAGCCAACTATGCAACTGAGCATCAGAAGGAGCAAGAAAGGCAATCGGGTGAGACACATTAAATACACAAACCTCAGGAGCTCATAATGACTGTAGGGAATGGGGAAGAAAGAGACAGACATGCAGAGAGATAGAGAGACCTGAGTCACTGAACAAAATTGGAATTAACTAGGGGCCCAACTTTTACCCTGAAAATTGGTAATTAAGAGAAGCGTCTATCCTATTTCCTCTATGAACTCTCTTTCCAGACAAAGAAACAACTAGCTAATATATGCATACTCCTCATCAAACACCTGATTTAGACCATGATAAGCAACGGGTGAAAAAGGGGGCTGGAAGGCTGATCCGGGACTTGACATTGCCAGGATCAGGCTGTCACCACCTGAAGCCAGGGATGGATCTTAGCATGACTCAAAGAGGAACAACCAGATAAGTTTGCCTCCTGCTGTGGTGCAATAGGAAACACCCAGCACTCCCTGAAGACATTCTTGCCAAGACTGAAGCAAAGCTGGAGCTGATTTTTAATGGAAAGAACTGAAGGGACCGAGGAACTACTAGGAAGTAAGTAGCAAAGTATCAAAAAGTGACAGGACAATTGCCCTGTTTTTTCTGCAATAAGGACATGGGAGAAAAAAGACGGTGACTAGGGAGGAGCTGCTCTAAATGAAAGAGACTCGAGACATAACAATTAGGTGTAATACGAGGACCTTCTTTGGAATCTGAAGCAAACCAGCTGCTAAAAGGGGACAATTGAGGAAATGTGATTAGGGGTATCAGATTACACAGTGTGTGCTGTTAATTATGTGATCATGTCACTGTAGCTACATAAACCATTGTCTACAGCCTTAGAGATACACAGTGAAGAATAGGAATGACATGACATGTCGTCTGATATGTGAGTTAAAATGCTTCAGCTAACAAAAAAAAAGAAAGTAAAAAAGAGCAGATAAAGCAAATGTGGTAAAAATCATTGTAATTGTTGAATCTAGGTGAGAGACAAACAGATGAATAAAATATTCTACTCTAAAATATTCTATTGCAAAATATCACGTATGGTTGAAATTTCATGATTAAAACCATGTGAATGCTGAAAAGATATTCCCTTCCTGTTCTTCTGGCAACTAATCCGAGGACCACCGCATAGAGGGGCAACTGTGACTGAAACTAATTCCCAAAACAGCTCTCATTTCCCCAGTCAATCCCGAGCACAGGAGAACGCACACAGGAAGAGTTCTTTGGACAGCAGGGGAAGGTGGTAGCTGCAGGGCAGGGACGAGCAGAGGACAAAGGAAGCAGCACTGTGCTCAGCTCTTTCCCTCGCAGGCTAACACCAGAAGGGGTGTCTTCCAGCACACCCTCCAGGAATCAAGGTTAGGGCACTACTCTAGCCTAGCCTCAGGAGAGTCCAGCTCTGCTCAGAAGGGCAACAGTTCAACACCAAGCTCCACAACAGGGAAGATTCCTATATGACCTCCCACCAGAGCTCTTCTTGAGGAAATCAGGCACTGCCGTTCCTCCTAGGTAAAATGCTCGGACCTATTTTTAAGTCTCACTGCACAGCAGGGGGATGAGAGGTAAGCTGCATTCTGTAGGGAAAAGAAAAAGAAAGATAAAAGAAACTCCAACAAATTTTCCATGTGACCAACCAAAGAACAGAAAGGCCAGCACACAGGATCTCCAGTACAGACTCGCCTAACACAGCCCCTGCCCTACTCTTCCACACATACAGAGGTGGCTGTAAATCCAGGAGAAGACAGGTTACAGAGCCCCAAACAGCTCACAAATCCTGAATGTACCATGTTCCCAAGGCTGTCTCTCGCTCTAGACTCACTCTTATGTCTCATAGTCAGCATCCTACTGCAGCTTTCAAGGGGACACCCTACGTGACCGGAAGCCCCTCTCTCTGACCTGAGAAGAAAGCCTACCCCTGCCAAGGGCAGACTCTGAGCCTGGCCCCGCGAGCTGAGGAATGCCCCCAGCATCCTGTGCACCGGACCCGCACTAGTGGAGAACTCAAATAGCAAAGTGACAGTGCAGCTGAAAACTGAGAAAACAAAAGCTTAAAATTTAGCTCATCTACCTCAAATCCTAACCTTCCATGAAAAGGAGCCTTTCCTCATTCCCTGTAGTTTGTGATACCAAAGAATACTGAATCAGTACTATCTCAGTACAATTAAAATTGAGGGTAACTAGGTAATAAAGACCTGATGCTGAAATTCAAGGAAGTCAAAAACAGAGCATTAAATACAACGAAACCATGTCCTGAGAGAATACGTGCTCTGGGCCATGGCATGACAAACTGAAACCTGAAGATGGGGGTGCAGGATAATGGGCTGGGAGAATGAAGCTGGTTTCCCTTGCAGGCTGCTCAGACCAAAAGTTCCTCACTCTAGCGGCAGAGGAGGCAAACCTGCTGCATGAAGGGGAGACTACTACTCCAGTGTGGGGCCCAAGGCTGCAGGAGTCTGCTGCAAGGCCCTAATGGGATGACCAGAGCATCACAGGAACACCAACTATTTACATGGAGATAGAGGTTGGTGAGCTATAACTGATGTTCCAGAAAGTGAACTCTGAACTGGATCATACTCAACACAGGCTGGATATGAAATCGAGACTCATCACCTTGATTGGGCAGGAGAGAAAAATCCAGTTACACTCTTAAAGGAATTAGCAGCCATTCAGCCTTGACATCAGACTATGTCCACAGTGTTCAGCCAGCAGATGCCAACTACTGAGCAGGAGGCTGAGTGCCTTATCTGTGCTGCTGTGCATGAGGCTATGACGTCCATGCAAGGACTACAGAGGCACATAGACCCAGCTGTCACCATCAAATGAAGAAGAGAATAGTGTCACCCAGCAACTAACATCCCAACCCAGGCTAGTAAAGAAAGGGGTGTCCAGAAGGGCACACTGGTGCCGAGCCCAGTGCCAGGGAAGCATAGGACAATGTCTTACGAGCACTTGGAGCTGGCATGGAGACAGCTTGGTGTGGGAATGGGCCGGTGATGCCTTTAGAAAGACGGGGAAGTGAAACAGAGCAGATGCTATATGAATGACGTTCAACCAACAGAAGGGAACAGGAAAGAGGGGACTTTAAAATGTATTCCCACTTAAGCTTGGAACTTCAGGCCAACGTATCAACTAACACTACCTTACATCTGTTTTTTCATACAATGAGGATAATACAGACATGCTGGCCTATCTCTCTCACACACACACACACATTTTATAAACTATCAATCAGCCAAAATGTGAAGTAACAAGCTTTGGAAACTAAGAGATAGACAACTGTATTACATATTTACATCCTTTTTGAAAATGCTGACTGTATGTTACGGTGAGACTGCCAGCACCCCATGTGACCTGTGGTCATTCAACAAAACCCAACTCAAGTAATAAACTGGCTTCTTGTGTGAACAAAAAAGTAGAGAGGGTAGACAAAATAATAATAGCAAAAAGCTCACGGTTTCTGAACCTGGATTCAACCCCTGTGATGATAGGCCCCTAGGGGTACATTTTGGTTTTTTTCTCTACTTTTGAGTTCATTTGAAATTTTCCATAATAAAAAGTAAACCAGTAAGCTCTTGCTTAGAACAGTGGTCCCCAACCTTTTTGCCACCAGGGACCGGTTTCGTGGAAGACAGTTCTTCCACAGACTGGGGGCAGGGGCGATGGTTTTGGGACAATCCAAGTGCACTATGCTTAAGTTGTGTGCTTTATTTCTATTATTACTACATTGTAATATATAATGAAATAATTATACAATTTACCATAATGTACAATCAGTGGGAGCCCTGAGCTTATTTTCCTGCAACTAGGTGGTCCCATCTGGGGGTGCTGGGAGACAGTGACAGA